AGCGTTTATAAGATCGTCCAAGGAAGGTACACCGTTTGTCATTTATGCGGCTCCAACTATCGGGGAGAAGATCTCGACAACAAATATACCGGAGCAATATAAGGATTTTAAAGACGTTTTTCAAAAGAAAAATACCGACATACTACCGAAACACAGACCATATGATTGTGCCATAGACTTACAGGAAGGAGCACAACCACCTTTTGGCCTAATCTACAATCTATCGCAAATGGAGTTGGCAGAGTTACGGAAGTACATCAACGAGAATCTAGCCAAGAACTTCATCCGTCATTCAAAATCGTCAGCTGGAGCACCCATCTTATTTGTGAAGAAGAAAGATGGCTCATTGCGGATGTGCGTGGACTATCAAGGCCTCAACAAGATAACAAAGAAGAATCGTTACCCATTACCCTTGATTTTTCGTCTCTTAGAACAACTTGGACGTGCAAGGATTTTTACAAAAATTGATCTAAGGGGAGCTTACAACCTCGTACAAATCAAAGAAGGAAATGAGTAGAAGACAACGTTCCGTACAAGGTATAGGCATTTTGAGTATAATGTCATGCCCTTTGGTCTTATCAATGCTCCAGCGGTCTTTCAACATATGATGAATGACATTTTTTGAGAGTACCTTCATGATTTTGTTGTCATCTATTTGGATGATATTCTGATATTCTCCAAAAATGAGGAAGAGCATGAAAAGCACGTTCGTTTGGTCTTGGAGAAACTACGCGAGCGAGGACTATATTCCAAGTTGGAGAAGTATTTATTTCAACAAATAGAGATGGAGTTTTTGGGGTTCGTTGCGACTACGGAAGGCTTGAAGATGGATCCCAAGAAGGTGGAAGCAATCGTGTCCTGGGAGGTTCTGAAGATGGTGAGAGACGTATAATATTTTTTTGGCTTTGCTAACTTCTATCGGATCTTCATCAAGAATTACTCTCAAGTTGCTGCTCCTCTCACTCAGTTGATATGCAAGGATAAGCTGGAATTGAGACCTCTAGCGGAGAAGGCGTTTCAAGACCTAAAAATTGCATTTATTACAGTTCCAATCTTGGTACATCCAGACTTTACAAAGGCATTTTATTTAGAAACTGATGCTTCGGATTTCGCTTTGGGAGCTGTACTTTTACAAATGAGAGAAGACAAGAAGCTCCATCCGGTTGTATTCTATTCTCGAAAGTTCTCTGCTGCTGAAATCAATTATGAGATCCACGATAAGGAACTTCTTGCTATAGTGGATTCTTTCCAAGAATGGCATCATTTTCTTGAAGGAGCTGCACACCCAATGACCGTATATATAAATCACAAGAATTTGGAGTATTTCATATCAGCTCGAGTTCTAAATCGACGTCAAGCTCTGTGGAGTATATTGCTATTTAGCTTCGATTTTGTTATCACTTATCGACCTGGAAAACAGCAAGGACTATCTGATGCCTTATCGAAGAGATCGTATCTTATACCAAAGGCTGGAGAAGCAGCTTTTGATCAACAATGTACGACATTGTTGAAGCCAGAGCAATTTTGGCTTTACGCTACTATTGTTTCAATTGATGCTGACTTCTTAAATTAGGTACATGTCGCGACCATAAAAGATTCAGTTGCCATTGATATCAAGCACCTACTTTCAAAATTGGAGACAAAGCCTGGCTTCTTCGACGGAATATCAAGACCAAGCGACCATGTGATAAGTTGGATTATCGAAGATTGGGACCATTTATCATCCAGAAGCAAATCAATCCAGTGGCGTATCATCTGGAATTACCGACTTCTATGAAGGTACATCCAGTCTTTCATGTTTCTCTGTTAGAGCCTTATTAAGAGTCATCTTTTCCTGGAAGAGTACAATGTCCGCTACCTAGTATTGAGATCAAGAACCAGGAGGAATATGAGGTTGAAAAGGTACTGGATTCACGGCGAAGGTGGGGCAAGTTAGAGTATCTTGTTCATTGGTGCGACTACGACATTAATGAGCAAACGTGTGAGCCAACTAAAAATCTTGCCAATGCGTCGCAAAAGGTATAGGAGTTTCATCAACAATATCCTCATAAACCTAAGCCGGTTTGACGATAGCTTCCTTCTGAAGCTTGCTCACCCAAGAATATAAGAAAGAGAGAGAGCACCACCAAAATTTTTAGTTGATGTAGTTATTTTCTCTAAGATAAAATAGAATTTTTTTAGTAGCCATAATTTGGTCTTTTGATATGGATAGCCAAGAGATAGATACTATGCCAGTCAGATTATCTCAACCGACTAGCTCACGAAGGTGACCTCGAGATGAAGAACCGCCTACACCACAACGATGACGGAAGATATCGAGTAACCGATCACTGGTGATTGTATTTGAGTCTGAGCCTACTTACGATGATCAGCCAGAAGGCGTGTTTGCAGGACAATTTCACAATGAGGACACGGAAGTTCATGCTTGGTGAGAAGTTGAAGGAGTGGGCCACTACCATTGGCTTCAAGGGCCAATGAACCACTTGCCTCGTGAACAACAGTTGGAGTTCATAGTAGACGTTATGGGTCAGATCTTCATTTTCTTGTGTTGGTATTGATCAAACAACATTGCTTCTCAGAGACCTCGAAGCTAAAAGAGGGGGTGATGTTAGGGACATAATCCTTAGAACCTTCTAGAGACAAGTTTCTAGAACCTTCTAGAAGCTTCTTAGTTGGTAGAAGATATTAGAGACGTAGTCCTTAGAACCTTCTAGAGATAAGTTTCTAGAACCTTCTAGACGCAAGTCTCTGGAACCTTCTAGAAGCAAGTCTCTGGAACCTTCTAGAAGTTTCTTAGTTGGTAGAAGTTGCTTGAGAAGCTTCCTAAATAGAAGTATATATTGGAATCGAGGCTGAAGAGTTCTTCAGTCTCGACAACACATCTCTTAGAGCTCTAGCTCACCTCTCTAGTGTTGTTCTCATCTAATTAATTTAGTTCTTGCCAGTTCTTCCTGAACTTCTTGTTAAATCTCGGGTGTGTATTTTTGTGTTCGTGACAATTTGTGCCATTGTACTCTTCAATTTAAGAAGTTCTACTATAATAATACATAAAGAAGGAAAGATGTTTGATATCAATCAAGTCAAATAGAAGAGAAGAGTTGAAAACAAAGAAAAAAAATACAAAGAGTAATATTAATTTACAAGAGAGTAATTTCCAAATCCTAATATGCTTAAGTCTTATCAAGAAAATGGATAATCTACTCTTAATTAAGAAAAGCCAAAACTTTGATATAATAAGTATACTCTTGTTAATTTTTTAAAGACAAGAATTAGATGAAAGAAAATAAATAAATAAGACTTTTTTAAAGAAATATGACAAAATAGAAATAGAAAAATATATATATATTAAAAAAAAAATTGGAATGGCTATTGCCAAAAGAGAAGGAAACTAGAGACTCTTGAAACTAGACTAGAAATAAGAGAAGAATTGACAAGAATGAAGAAGGCTACACTCTTGCTTCTATATGTACTATCTATCTAGTATCTGTGTGACGACATTCTATAGGACCTCCAAAAATGTATTGACTTTACATGATACACATCTTAACTTGCAAGGCAAGTTTTTTATATAGGCACCATATACTTAGCTTATTCTGTAGGCTACTAACAACTGCGGCATGTGCTTAGCTTGTTGACCAAATTTCTAATCTACCAATCAACTACAAATACATGTAAAATCAAAACAGTGTCTAGAAAGCTTTTAAAAAGCTTTTCTAGAAGGTATTATGAAATTAATCTACTTTTACCTACTTCCACTTATTCAAGTTATCTAGGTAATAATTACCATAGATATATATCCATGATGTAATACTAAAAAGTTAAAAGATTTAAACTGTAAGTTTGACCTATTACATCTATCTTTACATTTAGTTGTCACTGATATATATATATATTTACTCTTATAATTATTTATATGATTAGGTAGAAGTAGATTAATTTAATAATATCTTCTAAAAAAGCTTTATTGAAGCTTTATAGACATGGTTTTCACTTTATATATATTTGTAATTGATTAGTAGGTTAGAAAATTGATTAATAATTTAACCACATGTCATAGATATTGAGAGCTTGTAGAACAAGCTAATTATGTGGTACACATATAGATAACTTGCCTCACAAGTTAAGATATGTGTCATCATAAATAAACCCGCACAACTATCATTATACTCACTGAAGCAACCTATGTGCAATATAATCTTTGTGACATCTATAAGACATGCTACCATTTGAAACAAAGTTCACAAGAGAGAAAGTCGTTCATAAGATAGAATAGCCATGAAGAATTGTTCTACACTTGGTATACTTTGCGGTTTAGATCTTCTTTTCTACTAAGCTCAATTTAGTCATTATTTGCATCTTTGAACAACTTAAAAATTAACAATGCTTGTTTACAAGTCGACACAAATTCCTTATCATTTGTATTAAATAATATATCATCAATAAATACATCCACAACATCCCAATTGATTATAAAAGTGAATGCTTTCTTTGACTTGAAATGAAATGTAAGGGTTTTTTGAAATTCACTTGGTCAAAGATTTGGTTCTTTGAAGCATCTAAGAAGACATTGTATTCTATCCATACTTTGACCTACTATAACTTCATATGTACTATGATGTTGTATGCATAGAAAGGAATTTGAAATGTTTTCAGATTCACCATCCAGTTTTGTTTATGCACTGTGAGCTCAATTTCTTTATAGCCAAGTTTCTCACACATTAAGAACCATGCTGATAGAATTTGGTCAATGTTCTCATCTTCTGAGTTCTACATAAGGCTGCACTTTCTCCCCACAAAGGATTTCCAAGGGGTCTACAACTACTTCAACATGGTCAATTTGACATGGATACTCTAATGTAACTGCAGAGTATTCCTACTCTCAAATCATATCATGGAGTTTTATTCCCAACTTAAGATAGTATTAGAAACTTATTTTAGACAATGTCACTAACTTATTGTAGGGAAATTCGTTTTTTTTGGGAAGAGCTGATGATAAGTAGTGTTGAAATGACAATTAAGGAAGTTTTTCTTTTCTTTTCGTTTCTATTTTAAAATAAAATAAAGGTTCGTCGTGCCTATGCACTGACATATCCTATCTGTGGACCACGTTTTGCACAAACTAGGTTGAAATGGAAGCTGGTAACAAAGAAAAATACTGGAAGATGAGAGGGATGTACTGTTCATGTAATCGCATTGAAAGAAGACAAATGGAAATCCATAAAGCATTTTGTTTCGTGAGAGAGCTGCTACTCCGTAGCCTCACGTTCTTGTGCACAGTCTGTGCTTTGCTGCGTCTATGCTTGACGGGTGTGGTTTGGCTTTTCTTCTCCTCTTCTCATCTATGCTTTCAGTAAGTACCGCTTTTGCTTTTGAATTCAGAGGGTTGTACGTAATGCTAAAGCCACGCTAACAGACATACACAATACAGAATTGATGGTCGATTGGGTCACTAGGTGTCGATCTTCCACTTACGCCGGCAGAATATGTGCATGCGGGGTTCCACGATGCAGAGTGGTTGTTTCGGTCGACTTTGAATACTTGTGGGACTTGTATGGTCCACTAAGTTTGTTAAACTTGTGCATCAAATTGGATACTAGTGTGAATATGACTTCCACATAGAGAGACCAAGTTCAGCAACAGGTTGGTCGCACTCTGGGTCGGCAGAGGTGACTCCACCGTAGCATCCTCGTTCGCTACGAGAGTTGGTGGCGAATTTCAAGCTCGGGAAATGTAATCCTTGCTCCTGCTCTTGGGCAGTCCACTCAGACACGTAATAATCTTCCTCAGAGGCGCCCTTGGAGGCTGGAAATAGCATACTGCCCCACTGAGGGAACCATATCAAGGTGACTGGTAAGGTGCAGCAGATGATCATAATGCCCATGTAGACTAGACCTACTTCAGTATGGTATGAAGACGATGTGAAAAACAGGGATTGCGTCAATACGGAGCCTACATTTCCTCCAGCCGCAGTCAATCCAATTATAACACCAAGAGATCTCCGAGAAACAAAAGGAACGATTCCGAAAGTTGCTCCGCAGGCAGCTTGGACGAAGATTGAAAAAAAGATCATGAAAATAATAGAAGGGGTCAAGCTGTTCATTTTTCCCAGCACGATACACATCAGTCCTCCCATGGATTGGACAATCCATAAGAACCATAAGCGACCACGCATTCCAAAATAATGCCCTGCAAGGTCAGAGAAGTATCCACCGGCTGGACGCGAGAAAATATTCATCAACCCAGAGGCCGCGGCTATGAGACCAGCAGTATTGAGATTCAATTCGAAACGGTCGTAGAAGTATTCGGCGATAATGTTGTCGACCGTCAGCTCGACTCCAAAGCTGTAGCCATAGAGAATAAAAAATACCCATGTTCTGTAACTCGTTGCAGCGAAGTACACCACCTGCCATCATCAACATGCTTGTAGATCAGTGAGTGGCTTACAATGCCCTACCGTCCTTACACTTTACTGATTAGCCATTTCACTTCAAGACATTGGTAACATAGTAAATTAATGGAGTAAGGGATGAGTTTATTGATTCGCACCCTAAGGAAGCCCTGCTTGACATCCCCGCCTTGTCTTTGAAGTTGTGAGTGGTTTCCATCGGGGAGATCTTGGCCAAAGAATAGAATCAGTAGTCCCAGTACCACATGCAACGTTCCCGGTACGAAAAACGCAAGTCTCCACGCAGTAAATGCGGGGTTGTGAAAGCTGAAAGATATAACACAAGCCACAATAGGAGTTAGTTGTATGTCGGGTATTGATGATGCCGAATTGAGGCTACAACTAAACAATTACAAATACATGGCATACTACATCCGTGTAAGAAACCCCGAACGAAGTGAAAAATGCTTCTATCATTGCGTAGTGAACTTACCTATCTCGAAACAAGGCGAAAATCAGGGGCATCATGATTTGAGTAACACCACCACCCAGGTTACCCCAACCGGCAGCAAGTCCATTAACTGTGCCTACAATCTTGGTAGTGAACATGGAGCTCACCCAGTATTCACAAGAGACAAATGTGGCGAGAGAAAAGCCAATAAAGAATCGGCAGATCATAAAGCCCTCGCCGTCGTCAACCAGAGCCATTGAGAACACGGCCGGAGCATTGATCATAATCAGAAATGCAGTGCCATATCGCGGCCCAACCAAGTCACATATGGTTCCCATCATCAGTCGCGACATAATCGATCCTGTAGAGCCACATGAAACAATACAGTGCATAAGTCCAACTTGAAAAGAATGTTTGATGAATCGGTCGGAACTCAAACGTTGACTCAGGTAAGTAATTTTGTTTTATATTGCAGGAGAGTCAGTGCTTTATTGATCAAGCATGTATACGCATACCATTGACTGCTAGTCGTAAAATATGTTTCGCATCATCAAACCTTAGAACCAATTGAATACAATGTGGCCATCAAATCATTGCATTCACGCTCATTGCGTTTCTTGGGGATGACTCACCGGAGACTGAAGCGACGGCAGCTTGTCCGATTTCAGGTTTGGTCATGTTCAGATTGTCACGGATGATGGGAATGAGTGGCGGTGCAGCAAACGTAGACAGAAAGCAAATGAAGAAAGAGATCCAAGCAAGATGAAATGCTCGCATGTGAGGTCGAGCAATGCTGAGCACTTTAACGGTCCTGGCCTTGTGCTCGGAATCAACCGGCAGCATGAACTCAGCTTCATCAGGGTCCTGCATTGCATTCGCTTTCTCCGCCATGATGGATCTGAAGTGACTGCTTGCTCCAAGCTCCACAATGACAATTCAAGATCTTGACGGTGTGCTCAACTCAAACATCAAGATCTGGACCCATCACTGTAATTGCACGACAGTTTGATCACACATACATCAGTTCTGAATTCTAGCAACAGTCTCAGATTCAAGCTCTCAGATCGTATCCCCGATACTCCTCAAATCATACACTCTAGATTCAACTTGGGATTCAACCAGTGTGGAATTGCACTCTGGCATGGAATTTTAGTCGAATTATAGACAGTTTTAAGGGTTACTAAGATCCCAGCTGCTGCAACCCATCGCGGGAAATGGAATCTGGAGCAATAAATCAGCGACGTGGAGAATCATGCTAAGTAAATATTTAGAATTAAAACTCCTGCTGTAATGGTTCTCAAGTCAGAGCCTCCCACTGGAATCCTTCCCTCTCGACGCTTCTCGAGTAGCGACAAAAGATTTTGCAGAGATGGGAAGGATAAATGCCATATTTGCCACAAAGCTACAGCACATAAGAATCTCTCCTCCCCCCGCATCACGTGAGTAGCACTCAAGTAGCACCCGCGTATTTGAGCAGCTCCCGAAGAGTTCAATTCTAAAATTAACCAGGAATGCTGCTTTGCGCCAGGTGAATAGCTCGGTTTCCATTTTTACAATCAGGAAAGCAATGTCACTTGGCTGAACAGTCAGTGCAGAAAGTTTACTTGGCGCCTTGTCAAAGACAAAGCATCAAGACTTCCAATGTGCAAGACATGGGCGCAAGTTCTGCCTCACATTTTGGAGTCTATTAAACGACTCCAGAGGTGCAGTCAGACCCACAGATAGCCTATTCCTGAAATACACTGGCCACTGCAAGATCATGGGAGAGGGCAACGTCCTTTATCGGTCTATTTGAACGAAATTCTTTAAGTGCCAAAAACAACTAAGAATGGGAGAAAGTTCATGGAGTTATAGAATAGAAATGATGATTTAAATGGCCATCCTTTGTTGGAGCGCACCAGAGTTTGTTTTGTGATTGGTTGGACGCCCACTGGAGATAAGTTATTCTGATGGTACGGTCGTCGGATTGGCTCCAAGTGGGATACAGTAGATTAAGTGGTATCATAATGGAAATAGTGGGACAATATGCAACTTAGAGCAAAGAGGAATTGAAAAGGAAGAGCAAAATGTGTACCCCTAATTCTTAAGGTGATTTGTCTTGGAATTTGTTTCTCATCTTTGCAAACAGTCAGGCTGTCTGTAGTTTCTTTTCTTTTGCACAACTGTCATTCCTAAGTGACTCCAAAAGGAAATTGCAGTTCCCCATCTTCTTGGAGGAGACAAGTGTTTGTTCCAAGCAGGTTGCGATGCAATGCCATTGTTACTGAGCTTACATCTTGGTCTGAAATCGGTCGCAATCCACAGTGCACTTTAGCAACGATTTCCCTCCCAGAGAGTGGGTTGGCTGCCTCGCCTACTTCAACTTTGAGGTTGTTGGGAGGTGCCAAAATAGAAGGTTCGGCCGTGTGTATCTATTATTTGCGTATTCAGATCATGCGGAATGAAGAAATGTCTTAGTGAGATCTCAACCAACCTGGCTTCCTCTCCTTCTCACCTTGAATGCTTCGGCTGCCACGTAATTGTGTCGACAACTTCCGGGAATCACCCTTAGCTAGGTTCTGACAGAAGTCATTGATATAGGGCTGTTCTTAATTGCTTCAATCCATCCTTCTTTGGCTACGCCATCTGCTCTCAAGGCTAATCTCGTGAAGATTCAAATGGATCTGTTATGATGGTCATAGTGAAGATGCCATGGTCGCAGTGCCGCTGCTACCCAGAGTGGACGCTGTGTTAGAAATCGGCGGCTCTTTCATTGTTCTTTTAGTACAAGCAGTTGTTTCACCCCATTGGTGTCAAATAAATGAATGAATCTGCTGCACTCAGAGACAGCAGCTTCCACTCTGCAGCAGTCTTCGAAAGGTCGTTACCGCATCTCCGTGTGAAGAAGTTACGGTTTATGTATTATTCTCTACATCTTGAAGTATCGACAACTAATTGGACATTCACGGTAAAGATTTAGTGTTCACTGATGAATTGAGATGGTAAAGTGAAGATAAAATTCTAATACTTGTTTCAATATGCATATGATAAACATCTAAGTGCGCTGATTACGTGGAACAATGATTACTCAGGTGTTGCTTGCTCAGTTCGTGGAGAGAGTAAATAATGTCTTGCTCCAGAAGAGATTATTAGTAATATTGGACGCTGGCTTGCTTCTGACTCGATGTAGATGCATCTAGAAGCAGCGGAATGGTTACATGATTATTGATAATCGGAAAGCCAAACGATGAATTTTTTTTGACATTTACTTTCTTCAGAGGAGGAGGATCTTCCTTCCTTTCCTTTGTGGCATCCATTTGTTTCCAAATCTTCCTTTTCTCCATTGTGCATAACATCTTTTAAATCATTTCATAATTGCTCCCAACTTTTCCATCTTGTTTACATTCTTGCTAATAGCATCCAAAATATTTGCATACAAATTTTCACTGTAGTAAAATTTGAAATAAAAACCATCAAACACATGTTTGTGTAATGTAAACGTTAAAATAGCTAAAACTTTAATTTTATTGATATATAATATAATTTTATTTTAATCTTTTTAAATTATGGAGTTAGTATTTAGATGTCATATATATGTTGCCAAAATCCATGTAAAACTTTAATCAACCATTCATCTATATCAAACAATTTAAAACTAATTCTAATATATTGAAATATATAAAAAATATTATTATAAATATATAGAATGGAATTAAAATAAATTTTTAAATATTTAATTTGATTTAATTTTTTTTAAAATTCTCTATCACCTTAAAAACTTTATTAAAAACCTTTATAAAAATAAACAAAATATAAACCTCTCAAAAGCATGATTTACAAATATTTATAAAACAATAATTTAAAAAGGAATATTTATCTATTTATATATATGACAAGTTTCTAAAAATTTAATCAATTTTTTTTAGCCTTATAAGTACATATTTAAATAAAAGAAAAATTAAGACCATTATGAGTCTTGTCAACTTCTCATTCAAGACTTTATTATTTCTTAGCTTGTAGACTTTCGTGTGTTGCAATATTATTATCAAAACATGTACTTTATTATAGTACGATCAGTTTTTAATTAAAAAATAAATAAATATTTTGTATAACTTTTGATTTGCATCCTAAAAAATGTCAAAGTTAAAACTCTAAATTATTGATCAAATTTGTTATTTTGAAAAACATTCAAGATCACAAAAGTTATTTTTTTATAATGTGCACATTATAAATTAGTAATATAGAAACAAAATATTTATCTGTTTTGATTATTACATTAAAATGAGTTATTCAAATTTAAAATACTAAAAGCAAATTAAAAATGTGAAACTATTGTTTACATCACAATATGATAAGAGACCACATGTAATAATATAACAATATTGAAGTATTTAAAAACAAAAGAAACATTTCTAAGGAGATCTTTATATTTGAGGAAAGATGTTGCAACCATTAAATCTTTTAATTAGGAATTGAGAAGTTTGATATTCTAGCCAATCAAAGGACTTAAAAGTTGCACCTTGTCCCCTCTCTAATGGACTGACACAATCCCATCATCACTTAGTGTGTTGTTTAATCACATTGTTAATAAGAATGATGACAACAACAATGATGATTTATAGTCTCTTCCCATTAAGATACAAAAGTTTAATAATGATCAGTTAAAAAACTAATTATCTCATCAAAAGATTCCACACTGGAGGGAGAGATTAAACTAATAACGTAGGAGATGCTTAGCTTTCGAGTATCTCTTTGTTATGAAATTACAATGCACAAAACATTATCACCTATAACAAAGGACCTGATTCTCATCTAAAATGTGCACATTACCCTAGAGGTTTTGAAAATATGACCACTGGGCAAGGCACGACGTTGCTAAGAACTAAGGGCATACTCAACGACCTACACTGAAAACTTGCTAGCAGCATGGACAACAATTTGTACGATTCCAAGTACATCAAATGAGATAAAAGAGGGGAGGCTCTAGTTGCCATGGGCGTAAGCATCGAACGGTGATATATACATGATCTAAGCTCGGATACATACAACCACAGTGATGTAATTGTGAAGATAGAGGAGAAAAACACACCTCACTTTACTTCCTCGAATGAAACCATGTTATAATTGTGAAACCTTCCCATCCTGCCCAACGAAATCCACCATTTTGTCAAAACAGTCTTACTTAGTAAAGGCCAAATTGGCATCAAACTTGGCTCATTAATTTTGATAATAGTGATGGAATAGTATCTACTACCAAAAGTTAAAGTCTCAAAAAAGCATTGAATTGTTTGACCATCTCCAGCCAAACGTTAAATCTAAACCACCACAACGACAGAATGTGGTTCTGGGCAGTATGTCGACTCTAATAGCTGCCGAAACAATGGAAATTGTTCCAGCGTTCAGAGGGCTGTTGATCACGAAGCCAACTAAAAAGTACTCGGACAAAATGCAACTGATATTATACCCTTTTTCACTCACGTGCCTGAAAATAATCGAATAGCCAGAATCACGTGCCCCCACCTCACGGGTCCATAGAGAGCGGACAGCTATGCAAAAATGCATGACTCAGGAGGCAACAAACCTGCACAATCATTCTATCCAACATACCTCGAGTCCAATAATCGAGCGACGGACCAACCAGGAAACACAGGCAGTATTCACTAATACAGTGCAAGGCGTGGTCCAAAGTGGCCTGCAAAGTTTCTGTTTAAACATACAGTAATGAACTGTAATAGTCTGCCAGTATCCTCAATACATACGTATCCGTGTACACCAAAACATGTCGGGGTTTAAAACGTGACAGATTTAAAATCAAATACTCACCTTCCCAATATACGTAATAGACTCGAGCTGTGAGTTCCAGTTATCCTCGCACTCAATTAAGGACCCCAATTAAGGACCCGCGATAGACCTCTCCACTCTTCAGTTCCACAGTCACAATATAACCCTCATGCAGCAAAAAATCCCATTGGTTGGAGCAGTAGGATGGTAAAATCCAGTTATGGGTTTAATCTAGTTACTTCCAAGTTACCCAGTTATTGGGATGAGACGAGATGGGATGGGCCAAGCAGATGACAATGGTAGTGGTGCCAATGAACTTGATCTACACCTGGTTGATTTGGCATTGTTTTTTTTAGTATTTTTTAATTGTAATAAGAGGCATTGATTGATATATTATTTTTACTTTTTTGATTGGTTGCCAAAAACATACTCAACATTGACAAAAGCCAATGATTTAACCACTAATATATCTATATACATATATGCAAAATTCTACATTATTTTGATATAAGCAATGCTATGTATTTTTACATAAATTT